GTCATGTTGGAACAGAGTAAGAAGCGTAAACTTTAGGGTTCTTGAAGTAGCAATGTCTGTCCTTTCAGAACACAATTGACAACATCCTTATACACAAATGATTCAGTTCCAAAACCCACAGTCGGTTCGAGTTTTAAACCATGGATCCTCGGTTCGATCAGAACACACACATCTCGTCTCACAGCACATGACCGGTCCTATAAGGACTCAAAACCCGGTCCTGTGTCGATGTTCTCAACCAGGATCTGACTTGGATGCTATCCTCATGACTGAGCGCATGCAGTCCGACCCCCAAAAGCACTCATACCCCCTGGCAGGGCCTGCCCTGCCCACGGCAGGCTGGGCAGGACCTTTGGTGGTGAAAGGGTGAGTTTGAGAGACTCCTGGCCCTCCCAGTGACCATGATCCAGCTCATGACCTATCACGTCTGTTGAAAGAAACCCAATTCGATCGATGTCACTGAGCCTCTTGGATGGTGGAATCGACATGCAATTTTAAACTTAACAAGGTCTTTTGCAAAATACGACCAACAAACAGCCTTTCGATTGAAAGGATTGATTGTGAAAGTGACCAAGTTCCAGGTATATATAAAGATTACAAAGCTGACTTCAATCGTCCAGCAAAAGCCATGCGATGGAAATCCCAAGGAACCTGTGTGGTACGGAAAATCCCACCGGACCTGAACCCGATCGTTAACGAGCGCCGATGCTGCTGACTCGTGATTCACCATCATTCGATAGAGATACGTCGGAAATGCATGCAAAATTCTATATATTACTAATTCAACTGCATGCCCCTTCTCACCACCATCCAACGAAAAACCTGTAACCATCTGTAACCTGTGGACATATCTGCTCAAAGCATCTCAAAGCTCTGCATCCAATGCCAATGACCCGAGCTGACATCCAAATCTGCGGGTAGACCCAACGATCCACTCAGGACGCCATCGACCCTCCAACGACCCTCCACCCGTCGTCCTTCGGTCGGATCCTTCGGGTGTCAGACCAAACATCTCTGTTTCTCTTTCCAGCTCAGGTGCGCCAGCACCCACCAAGCCCAAGTAGGAGACATAGGCGCCAGAAACTCGAGCTTGTAAAACCCGATCCTTCATCCTTGGACATGACTCTCTGAAGCTTACAGTAAACAGTAAACACCTCTTTTTTGTTGGAAACTGCTGGATGTTGGGGATTGGACCTGGGTCCGGCGGATGATGGTACTATTAGCAAACCTTTAGCAAATCCAGTCAAAAGCGCCGTCCAAAACGGTCTTCGAATGTCTTCCTGCTCCTTTCTCGGGTCGTTCCCATGGTGTCCCAGGAGCTCCACGGGGTAGCCATTGTGCTTGGCCACCCAAAAGCGCCAGCCTCACTTCGGCATCGCGCCAAGCGCGGCCGGTTCCGGGTGGGTCGCTACCGTCGGGTGAGGCCTCGTCCAAACCGGAGGACCATCCGAAGAGAGAGGTTCTCCCATGACCAAACAGTCTTTGCCTTCTGAACATATCCCAAACAGTGTTAAGCCGGAACGATCGAAACAAACAAACATCAAGAATAACCACACGGTTTGAGGAAGCAAAGGAAGGTATTGCTGCCAATGCGTTCTGTCAGTGAAATACTTTGCTCGTGACGCTTTCGAGATGTCAAACGGGAAAAGTTTCAGAGATCCAAACTTTGTATAGTATATCAGTGTATAGTGGATTGAGAGCAAATGCCACAGTCCCCCCCCATCTAAAAGCCACCTCAGGGCTTGTGCATGCTTGTGCCATATACCCCACTGCACATGAATTGTCCATGCAAGTCCTCTTCAAAGGTCATGTGCCTACAATCTTCGCTCATCTGGGGATCATCTTCATGTCCCTCCCACTCTGGCCGGGCAGCGGTCCATGTGTGCAAGGCATGCTGCCTGCGAGTGAGCATGGTTGATCCATCTCGAGCGCACACGGAATTCATTTGTTCACGCTGGCTTTGACCTCATCACGTGAAATTTTCTCCCCCTTGATCAACCGTAGATTCTTGGATGTATATAGAGAATAAAGGCCAAGTCTTGACTCTTTCCAACACCAATCACACTCCTCAACTCGACGGCAAGGGCCACAGCACCTCGTGAACACGCCCATCCATATCCAGGTCCACGGCTGCCACGATGCTTTGGTGAGACCAGCAATTCACTGGGACTTCTCCGATACGATCCTGACCGGCAGAACCAACGCCTTTCAAGGCCCACCACCGCCATGGGAGGGTTTAAACGGACGTTTCGCACATCTACGCTAGCCGCTACGTCCTTCAGTCCCCCATTCGGAGGTCCCGGGAGGTCATTGGAGGGAAATCCTGTGCTTCTCGCTTAGTCATTGAGCCACAGAATGTCTGAGAAGGGAAATGGCGGGACATCTGTCAGAGGACTTTGAGGGACAAAACCGTCCATATCCAAACATCCCCGGAATGTGCTGGACAGCATGTATGCATCATGATCTGGCCCAGTCTCCCAAAAGTACTTATGTTCGTCCTGAAACTGTCCACCTGAAACAGTGACAAAACCATAGGATCATCCATACTGTCCATACTCAACAATGACATTAAGGACAACCTTCCTTCACCCTGCCCGGGCAGGCGCAGTGAACCTTCACAGCCACATACAACTACTACACATGTCAGTGCGGATGAGCTCAAACACTTTGCAAACGTGAACGCAACAAATAGTCCGGTTCATTGGTGTACAAGTACCTCCATTACACACAGGATGAATACCACATCCTTGGTGAGTCGCTGGAACCTCTCCAGGACAGTTCTTATCTCTGGTTTTAGAATCAGGGACACTGTCCAGATTTGGCACATTTTGGCACGGCAAATAAAAACAGTGGCTGTGGTCGTGCGTGCATTTGAACAATCGAGTCCATGCTTCACAGAAAAGTGAGTTCAAACCAACAGTTTGTAGCAACAAGTACACCCCCCCAAACAAAAACACACACACAAAGCACAAGAAGATACCGCTTGCTATCCTGCAAAAATCGATTAGGCCTGTCAACCTGTGCCCGCAACCCATCCACTGTAGCCTTTGGGTCTTCAAGAGATCTGACCAATGGAGCGCCGTGTTGGGTGTCCCGCGAGGGCATCGCGAGCTCCTGCGGAGCGAACGCGACTTCTGCAGAACGTGCCGTGGCCGCAGCTGGCCTCCAAACCCCAAAAGAGCCCAAAAGCTTCACTTCTGATTAAAAAAACGACTATACTTCTATACATTGGTAGGCTATTATTATAGGATATTATAGGTAAGACTTCCAAACTCAAAAGAGCCCAACAGCTTCACAATCTCTTTTGTAGGCTATAGGTAAGACCTCCCACAAGAGCCCACAGACCTCCCTCTCGATGGGCCAGAAGTCGTTGAAGGCGACCACAGGGCACTATCATTCAGTGCCACTAGCGGACGTGGCTAAGGGTTGTTGTGTTCTGGTTCAATGCTTGTTCTTGTGGTTGAGTCTCAATTTCTCACGGTTTAATCACCTGCACCAAGCACCCCTGGTTTCGGATCAGTTTCCAGTAAGGTCCTCTAGGGTCACTTAACATCTCTTCTGCTTCCGGTCTCCACCGCTCCTTCGGTCACCGCTCCTTTAACTGGCTTCCCTTCGGGACATCCATCACCAAGCCGTGAGCGTCCACGAAGACCAAGGTGGCCCAAGCATGACAAAGGTCCACCTGGAGCGAAAAAGAGCTCAGCCTTGGTCATGTAGACTCTCAGAAATCCAAAAAATTACTAGTCACTAGACATGGATTGAACAACCTCCCTCAAGCTCAGGGGCGGGGGGTTGAAAGATCGTCAAGAGTCTACATTAGCTCTGACAGCCCTAAGAGGTGGTGAATTGCGCGACATGTTTTTGGAAGGGCATGTTAAGCCCAGATCAGGCCCCTGGATCTAAGAGGTGTTTGTTGGCACACCAAGGTGCAAACCTGGCAGTGTTTGCCCTGCACCTGGATACCAAGTACCCGCCCCCAGCATCCCCCCAAGAAGACATGACATGCTTTCTGCAACTCTCTGATGCCAGCACAAGACATGCCAAGCCTTCAATATTCACATTATGATGTTGACAAAGGCTTTCTGGTCTTGAAGAGGCACACCAAGCAGGTGGGCGATTGTTGCCAAACAGAAAGCCAGGACATCCTAGATTGCAACAAAAGCTCGTCAAACGAGGTGATACCTTGTTACCTTAAGTGATCGCTCCCAAACATACAAAAATGAGTCGATGAAAGTTCCTGAAGGTATGCATTGCATTGAATAACCCTGATTCCAAGCATGGAGAAGCAAGGAAACTCTCCAAGTCCACTACCAGAAACTAGTAGAGAACACACAAACAAAGATCAACTACGTATATTTTATTCTTGGATGATCCCTTCAACACCGTCAACCTTGCCCCAAACACGGTGCCAAAGCACCGGTGCTTCTCCGTCTGGCCGCTCAGAGATGGTGTGGCCCACCACCACCGAATGAGGTCCCACCTGGCAAGTCCGGCACTGGCTCCACCAGTGGAATGGAACTGGACTCCACCTGTTAGTGTTCTTCGTTGGGGAGTTGGTAGACACTGGCAAAAAAAACCGCTGTTGCTGCACACCGGGTGAGGGTGTCAAAATGATAGTTGTTGGTGAATTTGAGATGATCCTTCGCACCAGTGCTGTTCTTGCCATTTCAGGTGAGAGAAAACCGGAGGATCGTGAGGACACGGGATTGAATGGTGCTTATAATAGAGTTTTCAAGTCTGGACATGTGTAGTCTGTTCAGTGAAAACTTATGGGATTTCCGCGCATTCCTGTTTCCAACAGTTTGCCGTACATGGTGAAACAAGTTCTTGTTGCATCAAACTCCGATTCCAACAGTGAAATCACCCCCGTAAGAAGGCGCTGGCAAGATCGTGGCTCTGCGGTCGATGAATTCCCGTCCGAAATGCGATGGTAATCGAATCTGCCGTCTGGGGTGAAGGACTCATCAGTCAGTGTGAAGTTTGGTCCAGCATGGCAAAAAGTGGAGAACATTCACTACTTGATGCCGCATGCCTCTGCATCAAACAATAGTGACTGCCCATAACCTAAGCCCCAGGCAAACCACAACTTGGCAGAATGTGCAGAAAAAATATCGCTACTTCATGTCCCTCCATCAAACAACGGTTACTTTTTTTCCGCAAGACTACCACTGAAAAAAGATGAAAAAAATACAGTAGTTCAAGCAAAAAACAAAAAGAACATCATCGAACCATACCTGGACCCTCCTGTCGGGGTGTCCTGGCTGGACTAAGACAGGGCACCCCGACAGGAGGGTCCTGGTATATTCACAGCTCAGGAAGTCCAACGCTCGCCATGACCTTCGAAGAGGCTTCGGCCTCTTCAAGCCAGGTCCGAAGCTCGTATTGCACCTCACACGGAGTGTGGGAGCACGTGCTCCCTGCACCGAAGACTCGGCACATGGGCCCTGAATTCACAAGGTTTCTGAAGAGGTACCCAGCTGAAAAAAGTCACAGGGGCCCAAAATCCACAGGCGCAGCTGGAGGGGTAAGGTATCAAAATAAAAATAAAAATAGAATCAAAAAAATATTCAACGGGGATCAATAAAAAAATAAAAAGGGAATCAAAAAAAATATTCTAGCCCACTGAGGATGGTTGGGGTAGTAGTAGTAGCAGTAGCAGTAGCAGCAGCAGCAGCACCAGCGTAGCAGAGCAGTAGCAGCAGCAGCAGCAGGAGGAGTAGTAGTAGTAGTGGTAGCAGTAGCAGTAGTCACGGCGTTCACACGAAGTTAGGCCCTACATGGCGTTGTCAGAGCGCTCAGAGCAGAGAAGTGTTTGGAATGGGTGTAGCAGCATCGGAAGGTGCCTGGATGGGAATCGCCTCAGGAAAAAGATGTGGTGGACCAGTCTATTTCTAATGGGTGCATTGCGGTCGCAGCCGTACAGGGTCTTTTTCACCAAGCTGGTGAACCATTTTTCGAGTAGGGCTACTCAATGACTGGACGGCTACCTTATCGTTGGGTACCTACTTTCTTCCCAGGGAGCTGCCTCTAGTAGAAAGCAATCAAGCCTCTATTTGCGCAAGCAGGGGACCAGGAGATCGACAGACGAGCGCCGTAGGAGAGCAAAAGACCAGCGGACCAGGAGACAGAAGGACTAGGATACCAGGGGACCAGCGGACCACAGGACCAGAGGACCAGGAGACCGGAGGACTAGGGGACCAGTGGACTAAAGGACCAAGGGACCAAAGGACCAGTGGACCAGAGGACCAAGGGACCAAAGGACCAAGGGACCACATTACCAGAGGACCCGCAGACCAAAAGGCCAGGAGAGCAGCAGAAGAGGCCTATCAAGGAATATGTTTTTTTTGATTCGCTTTTTATTTTTTTTTTGATCCTGTTTTTATTTTTTTTTGATGCTCTTTTTATTTTTTTTGATACCTATGCCCAGCTGGAGGACAAGAGTCTTTCCGGGGTGCCAAAAACCCACCCATTCCATGTGAGTGTTTCGGCGATTTTGGTCTTCTTTGGTCCTTGGTGCAAAGGCTTGATCCAAAGTCGGGCTGGAGCTTCCTCGAGATTGGGGAAGCACCGGCCAACGAACCTCATTGCTTGAGGGATCTGATCTCGCTCACGTTCTTTTTGTTCTCAGAGCGGTCATGGCTCCCAGAGCCCCTGAATCCCTGGTACGTGGACCCCTCTATAGTAGATGTGTACTGCCAGCCGTGAGTTTCTCGACGTTGGAGGAAGTGTCTTCTTCTAACAGAAGCATTTTGACACTGCAACCCTTCAACTCTCCACGTCCCAGGGGCCAGTGGCTGCAACTGGCCGTGCAAGTGCAAGAGCTGTGACCGCAGCAGCACCCGCCCAGCGGCGGTCGCTGCATCCGCCAGGCATCCGTTCCTGGGCTGGTTCCGGTTCGCTGAGCGTGCTGGAATGGCCTGGAAAGGGCGGCCCAAAACGACATAAGGATCCTTCAACATATCAGGACTGCTCTGTCATCTTCCTAGGATGCCTTTGTACAGTTTTTATTGAGGGGCAGGTCCAAGGAAAAGAGATCCAGCATCAAAATGCCAGTTGCCACTGCTCCACCCCAAAATGGTACACATTTCTAATCATTTCTATGCAGACCATCTATGGCCATCTTCATCTGCCATGTTTGTTGTGGTATTTCTCGCTGACAAACGGTCATGGAATCATAGGGTGATTGATTAAACTTTCCTTTTACCAAGCATTTCTGACGCTACATGCACATGTTTGAGCAACTTCCAAACACCCCCGCAAGAAGATCCAGCAAGAGGAAGAACTCCGTCACCTTCCGAGCGGCTGTAGCAGCCTGTAGCGCGAATGTTGGAAGAAGCGCGCTGCACCTGAAGAAATCCGACCAGTAATCCGACCCTTTGGCCCCTTTGGCCCTTCCCCACGCGATGGTCATCCTGGAAATCCCCCAAAAACCAGCGACAAAAATCCCAATTCTACTCACTAAACTCCATGAAGCTTAGCTTGAAGGACTCATTTCTCCCCAGGACGTGTCGCTTGTCGCTTCCATGTCGCGACACGGACGGTGCATGGGGTTTTCAAGCGGCGAGCCAGTTCGTCTCTGAGCTTTCCACTGACTAAGGTGGTTGAGGATGTACCGCACTCAAAGGCCTGCCGGAAGGGGAGCGGTGGAAGGTTCGAACATTCAAAATGATGAAGGAGAAACCTCTGGTCATTCACCCTGGCCCAAAACAACAACATAATGGAAATCATAATGGTTTCCTCACACTATGCATCAACCAGTTCTTTTTTGCTTGCTACGCTGGTCATGGCCAACTTTGGGCCAGCAGGTGCGACGTGGCAAAAACCACCACATTTGGCAAGCTAAGATATGCACTCCGCAAAGATACACGTGCCGCACGTACTGTACCTACTAACGGGCGGCGGTGGCTCAAACATCTAGACATGTCTTGCCATCCGTGCTCATTCTGCTTTGCCGTCCGCCTTCGCCTCAGAATGCCAAGGTCCCCTGGCAAAAGGACAAACCAAGAGCCCAACATCTTCAGCCTTGCCAACCTCAACCGAAGCCGTGCCCCATGGGGTTCCGCCCCAAACCCTTCACTGAGCCTCCGGACAGGGGCAGTCCGTGCCTCCGGCGCCTGGGAGTAGGCGAAGGCGCCGCCGAAAATCAGCACCTGAGAGGCGCAGGCACCGAACCGGTGCGAATCGGTCGATCGAACGCGCTGACCGGTGGACCAGTGTGGGAAGATCGGATCCAAACGGAGGGACGAAGAGGTGCGAATCGGGACCTGGTGCGAATGTGGCTTTACCACGAAAGAAAGGGTTGACTGGAACCTGGGGCTGGACTGCTTGGGCACCTCCCTCTTGTTTCAAACCTTTGGCCTTGGAGTATGTTTGGAGCTATGTGGGGCTGGTGCATCCACACAAATCACTGCACACAAGGCAAAGCCATCTGTGTCGGAACATTGCAGTAACTCCACCAACGGCCAAGCTGCAGTAGCGATGCTGTGCAGGATGGTCCAGGGATTGCTGAAGATCACGATCGAAACCTCGCGATCGAACACCCGGTGGTCCAAACCCATAACTATCCAGCCATACAGGGCCACACACACACATGTATGTATACTGTATACTCTATATATAATGTATATATATCTATATACGGTATTATATGGTATTCTATCTCATGTCGTATATCTCATCTCTAGATTCATCCATAGAATGTAGATGTCTTTTGCTCGTTCCTGATGTGGAAATGGGTCAAGCAGGGTCCTTTGACGGACGGCCCGAAAGGCAGCAACCCGTGAATCACATGACGAGGTCTGCAGAAAACCTGGCCAACTGAGGTCCTTGAAGGGGAGCCACCATGGTTTAACCTCTGACTTTGCAACTTCGCCGTCTGAAGATTCAATGTGGCTCAGTGACACCGTGACACCTCGAGAAGTTGAGCGGCCTCAATTCCCCCAAGCTCGGCCTCCTTGAGCTCCGTGTTGTCTCTGGGTTCTTGTTTCTTTTTCGGCCTTCTCTCCCGCGTCATGGGCCGTTCCAGTCTGACCGGACCCTCCAACTTGCACGGAGGCTGACGCCGCTCACGGACCCCCATGCACATACAGCCGTCATGTCATGTTGTTGGATAGCAGCTCTTTGAACGTGTTGTAGTATGACTTGCGAAGCCTGAATGTAGACTCATGCAAACTCTGATTCTTAACTCCAACACCCCTAATTACCAGAATTACACTCTACATCCCTCTCCCGGCAAACATATCCAACACGGCGCTTTGGTGTGTTTGGTCTCCACCGCTTTCTCAGTGGCCAGGGGGCCACCACCGAAAGGAACTTCCGCACGGACAAGATGATGGTGAGCGCCAAAGGGGACACGCACGCAGAAGTGCGGAAGACGCCCTTCAGGCAAATGGTCTGGGAAACATTGTTGATGAACCTCAAACACGGTCCGTGAAGAACGTATCTGGAAGGGTCCGACAAAGACCGGAGCTGCGAATGGGCCAAAAATGAGTGAAAAGTCGGTGGTATAGCAAATCATTGTGGAATTTATCTTTCATCCTGGGGATGCTTCTTCTTGCATTTATCTTTTCAATCTTGGAACTATTATTGAAACTGTACGTGCTTCATGTCCCTAATCATTGAAGTCGCCCAAACTCAAACGCCCAAATCATTCTGTCTGGCAAACTCTCGTCCATTTGGCCGAGAATAAGGGCAAACTACAATAAATGATGTCCTTCTCTGACCTTCTCTATTGTCTATTCTTACAGGTCCTTTAGGTTCATGAAAGGGAAACAAATCCTTTCAATCTTGTTCACCTCATTGGGTCTGTGTGTGGGAGGCAGGGAAGTGGCACGCCCTTCTTGTCAAGTTGCAGCCAGGCCAATCGTGAGGGGACAGGCACCAAAGGCAGTGGTTCGGAGAACCAAGCAGACTCAGCTGCCTCAGGGATCACGGTGGGTGGTGATATTGAGGACCGTTTCCAAAACAAAGGACCACCACCGACACAACCTCGCAAGAAATCGAGGTCCTTCTTTTCATTGCTGAAGCCTGGTAGATGCCCCAAACCACTGTCCTTCCTGTCGGACGTATCGCTCTTTGGGCATCTGCCACGATGAACATGGATGAAGCACTTCCCCAGCCACCCCATCCTCAAATGTTTGAATAGATTCTGGGTGGCAAGCCGTGAATACTGAATAATACTAAGTTGTTTCAACAACCAAAACAAAATGAACCCCAAATATCACCAAATAATACGAATCTTTTTCTGGACGCTGATGTTCAGCCTTTCAAACCTTGATTCTGGACTTCTGATTTAGCTCTTGCATTTTCCTTTTAAACTTCATTTGGGCATTGCCATTTGTAGCCCGAAATCAACCGACAAAGGCTACCGCCACAAAGACTAACCCTCCACAAGCAGCCCACACCTTCTCAATTACTCCAGACCTCAAGAAATACTAAACAAGCATAAACAAACCCTGGCTGGTTCTTTTGGTGGTTTTCATGTCCTTTCCTTTCCTTTCATGTTCCTTTCATTTCCTTTCATTCTCCTTGAATTTCCTAATTGTTCCTTTCATTGCCTTTTCTTTCCTGTCATGTTCCATTGATGTCAACTTCAACTCCAAATTCTTCTGGATGTAGGAATATTCAGAGTCTACACTTGATCAAGGGGGAGCTGTAATATGAGGTGGACAATTAAATTAAGGCACCACTCCGCCCTGCAGTGAGCCTATGGGTCAACAAAGTGTGCACCAAGATCTGACAAACAGTTGAACCACACGTCCAGTGAGAAAGTGACAAAGCCTCACCTCTGATCTTCGTCGCAATGCACACCCCTCCGAGACACTGGAATCATCTCAAGCCTGTCGCTGGTTGTTGAGCTCACCTTCCCACGAAGAAACACGCACGTCCCCACGTCCCTTCCCCATCCCATCTCTCACCCAGTTGCAGCCATAATGTCCTCCTTCAAAAAGAACAACGGCGCCAGGGCCTCAGTCGAAGCACGCGCGACGGTCTGCCTCGCGCCGTCCCACCAGTCCGACCGTCTTCTTCGCTTCTCCGTGCCGTTCCCCCGGTCGGCCCCGGAGCGGCCGAGGTGCCACGATGTGAGAGGTGAAGAGAAACTCGTCGCAAAGCTCGTTCTTTGGAGCCAAGTCCTCTCCCCCCCCCCACCCGGTGGTGCCCCGTGTGCGGTGCGGTGCGGTGCGGTGCCATTTCGGAGCCCTCGACACTGACGAAGAAAATCGGACTGGGTGGAAAGGACATGCAAGCAAGATAAGAAGTATTAGGTTGGTCGGTACTTCAAAACAACCTCAATACAACCGGCAAACCGGCAAACATGTCTTATGATGGGCTTAGCCATGGAAACTGATGAGCTGGTTCGGCAGTCTTGCTGGCAATAATGTGATATTCTATGATATTCTACAGTGTTGCTTTCGATTACCTTTAGCATGCTGGCCTATCACCTGGGAGTTGTGAAGCGCGTTTTACTCTCAGCATTTGGGAGGCAGGCGCATCTCTCTCGCCGAACTCAACGGTTGGTGGAAAATGGCGCTGGATGAGGTGAGGACTGGCAGTCCAAAGCCGTCGTCCGTCTTGAGTGGGACAGCTTTGTGCGGAGGCCCTTGCTGCCCTTGCTGGCTGGGCAGCAAAACACAACGGATCCTTGGCGTTAGCTTTCAAGTGCCGCCCAGATTTTCCACTGAACAAATTGTCCCAACGGCCATGGATGCAACAAAGGGCCCCAAGGAGGCCCCAAAAAGGGTGCTGCAAATCGACGCTCCCCTGCCGCGAGCAGTGGGTGATTTGCAGGTGGGCAGGGCTTGAGAGCATCCGTGCCTTGTAAATGCGGTAGTAGTTGGACTGCACGTTGCCCAGAAAACCTCGACTCGGAGTGGCGAGTTTAGGGTGAATGAGCGCTTCAGCCTACAACGTTACGTCAGCTCTTGGAGGTTTTTTGCAAGTTGTTGTTTTCCCATGAAAAGCACACAAAGCAAACACAAAGACGTATAGAACTTCTACGGTCTACAGCTACTCGAACACTTGAGGGTGGATCAACTGCGAATCAGCTAGCCGCCAGCCCCTCTTTGTAATTAACATGATCATGATGTCAATCAGTCAAAACATGGTTTACTCTGGACATGCTGTAGTATCTATCTAAATCAAAATTCATCTCCGCTGGCATGTGCGTTGGCACTGCGGAAGCCCGGTGCACCCAACTCACCTGCCCCGCGCCCCGCGCCCACCTTGCAGAAGCTGAACAAAGGCCAGCATGCCCAGTCCAATGAGCCAGGTACCGATGTCCACCTCCGAGGTGGAGCCGATCTCGGCCTGCGCTGAGCCGCCGAGATGAATCGGTCGTTCACCAAAAACACATGGACATGTCCAGCCGTTCATGTGTTATTTTGATCAAACCTGTAATCGTGCAAGTTGATTTTGCACCTTGATTTTGGACCTTAAATACTCGGAATGAGTCCAATGGTCTCTTCTTCTCGGGACTGAAGACATGGAGGTGCAACACGAAAACATCCGCACATCGATTTCGGCACTTCTGACGTCCGGGTCGCCGATGCGGTTGTGCCGCAGCCGGTGCCGTCGCAGGAAGGGGATTGGAGGGTCTTCATCTCCTGCCATGGGAGAGAAAGTGCCAAAGAATCACGCGGAGAGAACCATCTCCCAGTCCATTTCATCCCAGCCATCATCTTCTGCAAAAAGGACTTCAGCCGATGGAATATAACGGATACTGAAATGAAAAGGTAGGGAACTTCACCTTCAATCTACCGCAGCTCTGAGGCGTATGGATGTGTATGCTGCGTATACGGTTTTACAATATCCCACTGCATAGTTTTATCGCAGCAAAATTAAAGACTCCAACGGAAGCAACTCATAGAATGGATTCACTGCACTGGAGGTCCAGTCTGACCCAGGTCCAAACCTGGTCCTGAAAATCTCATTGAGTAGTGCGTGTGTGTGTGTGTCAAACCCTGTTTCCAAGGGTCTAATTTAATTTAAAGCAGGGGGACAGAGCTCTCTGATGCTACTCTGTCCAACGAAGCTAGGCATCAGAGAGGGAAGCATCCACTGGCCATGGATGTGTACCTGCTTTAACGGTTGAACAAGCTGTCCAATTGACCTTGTTTGTTTTCATGGTTCTTCATGATACTCCCCCTAAACCTTCCCACCGCGTTCTTGCAACTGAGCCGCGCGTTTTCGTGAGCGTTCGTTTTCGTGCTTTCTGCAGACTTCAAACCATTTTGTTCAAACATCTACAACTTTTGCGGACTCTTCACCTTACCGTTCTTCACCTTCCTTCCCAACGTGGCAATTGAGTTAACTGAAAACCAATGTCAGAGTGTGAGCCGCTCAGTCTTCCCACTTGGGTGCTGGGTGTGACCCTCCGAAAGGAGGCGCTGCTATCATGCCGGAAAGCATCGATCTTTCATTCTTATAACTGACCCATTGCTTCTTCACTTTCATAACTGAATTAACGGATTTTTGAGCCGCCGGGCCAAAAAACGGACAATCTCAACCACCGAATCCAGAGCCGCCGGGCTATAAAACGGTAATCCACCCGCAATGAGGCAGGTTTCCCAACCCCCCCCCCCGCCGAGTTCTACTCCCTACCTATTTAGGGCAACATAGGGAAATGGTACTCGACACACTTGTGTGTCGGTGCCTTTCCCTGTGTTGTTCCTGTTCTAGTCTATCCTACCCGGGCGGTCTAAGACTAAAGTCCCGCTCCCTAGTAATCAGTAACTCTAGAGTGCTAGGTATTCAGACACACACATGTACACACACATGGACATACAGCCCCTCCCTGCCCCCCCCGCTTTCCTTCTTGCGCTTTTCGTCGTTTGTTGGGCTTTCTCTCAGGCTTTTTAGGTTGCTCTTGAGGCTCGTTTCCCTACCCCAGTCAAGGGCTAAGTATTCACTTTTTCTACACCTACCTTTCTTTCTTGCCCTCTTAGCGCTGCTCTTTCTGTCTTTCTCTTTCTTTTGTTTCTAAGGCTTTTTTGGGTGACTATTCAGGTCTTTCACATGCGCGCCGCGAAGCGGCACCGTGTGTGTGTCAAACCCTGTTTCCAAGGGTCTAATTTAAAGCAGGGGGACAGAGCTCTCTGATGCTACTCTGTCCAACGAAGCTAGGCATCAGAGAGGGAAGCATCCACTGGCCATGGATGTGTACCTGCTTTAACGGTTGAACAAGCTGTCCAATTGACCTTGTTAGTTTTCATGGTTCTTCATGATACTCCCCCTAAACCTTCCCACCGCGTTCTTGCAACTGAGCCGCGCGTTTTCGTGAGCGTTTCGTTTTCGTGCTTTCTGCAGACTTCAAACCATTTTGTTCAAACATCTACAAGTTTTGCGGACTCTTCACCTTACCGTTCTTCACCTTCCTTCCCAACGTGGCAATTGAGTTAACTGAAAACCAATGTCAGAGTGTGTATATTTGTTGTTATATAATATAAATCAACTTCAGTAATATGAGCTCCAACATGCTCCAACTGACGGGCTGGGACTTGCTCTGCTCCTACACTTGAGCTTGGTTTATGTTTGGAACCTGGGACAAACTGTTAAGCATGCAAATTTGTAGATGATGGTACAGTGGGTGTGTCTTGCAAAATGGAACTTCTGACACCATGACCAGGTGCGCTTGGCTTCTTGCTCCTGTCACTGGGCCCATCTTTCGCCCAAAGGTCCTAACTTTGGGCCCAGCCATCTGTCAATGCGCCGAGCGACACCCATTGAGGCCAAAAATATTCCCAGTGTCACTGCGACCACGCACGCGAGCTGTTCCTGGGAATGCTCGGCACGATGCTGGGTTTTGCAACCCAACCGAGCTGCTTCGGTTTGGGCACCCAAGCCATCATGTTTGCAGCGCAAGCAGTCTACAATTCTTGGCTAAGTCTTCCCAAAACGATAGTGAACGTCTGATGGCAAAAAGGAAGGTTCAGTGCTTCTTTTGAGAGCAGGGCTGCGGCAGGGCCCTGCTAGACCTTCGGATGCTTGTCCCCTCCGTCCGAAAGAAGGTCCACCAACACCTGCGCCTCCGAGTTTCCACAGAGAAGCGTTGGCCAAAGACGAGGAAACCCAGCAGGACAGTCGCAATGATATTGCAGGATCGAATCCTGAGATGCGCGGTACGAGGAGGATCAGAAGTTATAACTATAGTTATATCTAAGTTAGCGTTAACTATGTTAACTTAAGTTATATAAGTTAGCCCTAAGTTCATATCTTCCCTAACTTCCACCGGCTTGTTTTTTCAAGGCTTTCTAGTTTTCTCGTTTTTCAAGGTAATCGAGCACTTTTTCCCCCGCGATAAGCCCATTTCATGTCTAAAACAAGCAAGTGACTGTGTCACCGGCCCATGGCCACACAGCTTGTCCGTGGCCACACAGCTTCGGCACCAGATTTTGCGACCGTCGCGCTTGCAGTCCGCAGACTCCTGCCCACAGAAGGAGCAAACCATCTTCTCCATGGCCGCTATATACACAGACCGACGCGCGCGCGGGGAAACAAGCTACGAACGAACACACGAAAATCAACGAATCGTGCGAGGCCTCCGGACATTCTCCGGACATCTCCGGCATCTCCGGACATCCTCTCTTATTGTAAATGTAAATGACGTGCGTGTCGCGACCATGGATCTGCGAAAACCTCCGGACATTTTCCGGACATCCACTTTTTCGCCTTCCGCAGCCTCGCGAGACGTCAGGCAAACGCTACGGGCCGCCCGAACCCTGCGACTCACACTCCAAAAGGGTCGCCCCGCAGGCGCGAGAACTATAGTGCTGCTGCAGGACGTGGCACACACATCCGCAACGAGCACAATCGCCCAAAAGGCAGCTTTCGCACTGAACTTGCATGCTCCGTCGGCTCATGGCGCCCCATCCAAATTCGAGCCAGAAAAGCTCAGTAATGTGAGACTTCAGATATGATAGAAACTATACGAAAATATATGAAAAAAAGCTGAAAAACATATGAAAAAACAAGCCGCGCTAACTTCCCTAACTTCCCTATCTTCTACCGTTCGTTTTCGTAGAAGTTAAAACATAAGTTAGTATCTTCAACTTGACAATCAGTTAACTTCCCTAAGTACCGTTGTAAGTTCCATAAGTTTTCCACAAGTTAGTGAAGTTACAACCCTAAGTTACGAAGTTATAACATATGTTAAACAACTTATAACTATAGTTGTAACTTAGCGATCCTCCTCGTACGGTTGTTTGGTCAATCCTTCTGGGGACACGAAAGGATCACCAATCTCCACGAACTGCAACCCATGGCTATCGCCAAGTACAAATAATGAAAGATCTAAAGATCACTCAGAAATATCTCAAGGATCATATTGAAGGGTGGTTACGATTTGCCTCAAAGCCTGCATGTTGCTTGAAAGATGTTGAAAGGTGGGAACCAACCAGTGCCCCGGCGCGCCCGAAAAACATCCGCCAGCTCCATTCCCAGTGTCAGCGTGAAGATCGCCACACTGATCTTGTAAGCAAAGGCGTAGTTCGCCAAGACGGACATCGAGACCTTAGGGGACAGCGGAACGGACGTAGCGTACCGTCCTGGTCACCGTAAGTCCTGGGCCTGGGTCAAGAAGGCACACATCAAACCTGGCAACCTGGACCTCTAGAACCTCCCATTCATCTCCATAGATACATGTTCCTATAGTTGAAACCCAAAGAACTGCACATTCCCGAACATGCTCCCAAGATTTGATGCATGTACTTGAAGGATGAAGATGGATGAAGCATATTATATTCATACTTACATGTGTCTGTCTCCATCTCTCGTTCTGACCCACCAATTGCCCTCCATGTCATCCTTGGATCCTCAGTGCGTTCCACGGTGCCCACAAGGCGGCGAAGGTGCCGTGGCTCCGCCAGGGTGCCGCCAGGGGCTTCAAGCCGTGCCGCGTGAGACGGCCTGCGGTCGGACGCCGGGCAGTCTGGGCGGTCGCCAGCAGCAGCAGCAGTAGGAGTAGCGGTCCCCATAGGTAGTCAATCTCAAAGATTGCGATGAGCCCGACAGCGATGTTGGTAAATGTTAGTAACTATATGCACATGTATATAATATGAGTTTTAAGTTTGGGTCTATTGCCCTTCGTTGGCTTTGGCTTTGGCAGCATCGAGCCTGGAATGCTCTGAAAAAGGACCATGAGAACCTCACGGAGTCGATCCGTTTCCACCGAGGTCCGTCGACCCACGTGGTGCGGAGTACCTTTGTTCTGATGAGGTGGAGATTCTCGGTTTCTGCCAACGGTGAAAGTGATTGATTTGAGGAATCACGGCTAGCTAATTTTTTTTGATGCTTCTTAGATGAATGGACTGGACATGACTAGACACCGCGTAAACTCTCAAAGTCGGCAAGCTGCGACAGTATGCCCAGAGGATCCCAGAGGTATCCCATGCGACTCTCGCAGAATGTCGCATGGATTTGTCGAGCCATTGCCGATCAATAATGAAACTATGATTTGAGAGTCACAAAAAATCGATAGACTTCCTCAGCACCTGCCATTCGTATCCATTGGCACTATACCCAAACACCAAGTTGACTGCCCCTCACAAGCCACTTATGCCTTTCCAAGGCGGCTCACCTTTCACCACTCTGCTCAAAAACTGTTCGACCAGGCAGCTGCTGTCAACGTCAGCAAGTTCCCCGACCTGAGATTCTCTGAAGATTGGCTGATGATGATCTTCACAATATTTTTTCCAGATTGTGTTGGTATGTGTTGGTCTTGGAGGTCTCCAATTGCACCTCCCAGGCACTCTCCAACCCTTGTTGACCATCAATCGACCCTCTCGAGCCATCGGAGTATGTCATTCTCGTCCTTTTCAACGCCACGTGCCAACCTCTCCCAAAAAACCGGCAACGCATTCAGGCTTCATCGCTGTCACCCTCAATTCAACCGCCCCACCGCCCCTTGGCGCAATCCAGGCGGATCTGGCGACAGGAGTCTCTGCCCCGAAGACCGAGTCACTTGGGATCTCCTTTTAGAACCACCTCCATGGCCACGATCGCCCCCATGCAGCCGCCAAAGACCATGAGGATGGGGACCTTGTGAGTAGTTGGTGAGGATGGTTTGACCAAGGTGAAGTGATTCAGATTCAGATTCAGAAGACCAGGACTTGAGAGTCAAGAAGCTTCCTGTAAAGCTAAGAACTTAAAAGTGAACATGTTGCTGTCCAACAGCATGGGAAGAGCATACTGAGGAAACATTCACAGTCCGTGTTATAGATCTCTGATGTTCGATGGCATCTTGTGTGACATAAAGAAGATCGGCAGTACTGTTGTGAAGTGTGGGAGTTTGCTCGTCAACCACCTCACTTGAGCAGCATTTTCACCTCCCAACATGAGCAATAAGCCTTCTCTGAAATGACTAGTTGAAGATCCGCCAGCTCAAACCACAAAGGAACTTGCGACCCTAGAGCAAGAATGGAAAAGGTTTCCCGGCAAAAAAAAACGTTTAGTGCTGCATTCCTGCCAATGTATCTGCAAGCGATAAAAGGATGGACAAGGTTTAGAACCCACTAGGTGCCTAGGTCTCGCCCGGCACCCGCTCTTCAACACATCAACCACCTTCGAAAGCCCGGGCTGCTCCACGCCCAGTAGGTGTCGCCCGGGCTGCTCGACGGATCGAAAACACGGCCAGGTGGCCCAGATCGACGTCGACATCGCACCGGATCGCCCCGAAAGAGACGACCGGAGGCGAGGGCCACGGGCCAGGAGTGTTGGGGGTTGGGGACTTGGGGAGTCCCCCAAACAGGATTGGAGTCATATCATATATGCTTAATTGGTTTATTCTTATATGGCCTATATGATTATATGGGCTCCTATCTACACAAACACACCTGAAACATCCTGAAACCTAAAGATTCGTGCAGGAGTGTATGTATAAGTAGTGGTTGAATGTTTTGGATAGTGCCCTCAATCTGCAAATCCATGCAAATCTATCCGTTTGTTGCATCATGTTGCTATATGCACTTGCACTGTGTACGAAGCCTGCAATTCTCAAGTCTGAGATGTCGCAGCCTTTTTTGGACTGGCGCAGCGTCTGAGCCAAAGTTGCAGAAAAGCTCCATAACCACTCCTGCTGTCCCTGAAACAATCCTGGAAGTGGGTGGCATGGCCGGCATGGATTTAGAGGACCATCGTCCTCTACAAACAGGTTCATTTCCATGGTGCATGACTCTGACAAGGGGTGCTTTTCTCTCACTTCAGCACCGGACCTGCTAAGCCAAAAGAACAGAATCTGCCGTATCTCTGGGTGTCTCCGAACGGAAAAGCCACTCCTCGTGTCGCCCTCCGCCTTGGCGATGAGCTCCGACCGGATCATCGAGCCCCAGTAGGTGTCGCCCTCCACCGCCTGACGTGCAGGCGGTGGGTCATGGGGTCATGGGGCATGGTGACACGCGGTCATCCACGTTTGGCTACGAAAAAGCGTCAGGAGCACGGGGAAAGGACCAAATCGTCAGGCTGGTTCTAGACTCACTGAAGTAATCAAGGAAATGGACAATGGCCGTTGGGAAGACCATTTTCCTGCACAAACCGGGGGTGAACTCCATTTCCGTTTTAGTGAGTCGGGGTGTTAGAAGAAAAACGCAGAACACATCCGTAGCATGGCCGAAAAAAGTCCTCATTCCTCTCCAAGCCCTCGCATTGAAACTATAAAACAACATGAAACAATGCAACACGACATTCATCTCCTCACTCTGGAGATGTCCGGCAATACAGGTCTTCAAAAAAAAATGGATGGTCCAGAAACGCTCTTCCCCCGTCGCACGCTCTTCCGCCCATGCCTTACGGACCTCATCAAAAACCACCCTCGACCGCACATCGGCTGGCAGCGCATCGGGTGCCCCGCCACCCACGTGGATTGTGCGCACCTCGCTACGAAACGAACGTGGGTCGTCGTTGGCCCGGCAAGTCACTAGCACATGCATGTATCTCAATCAGTGCCTCAGTGCTTAATAAGTGGCTCCTTGGGTGATGTCAGGCGCAACAGATTTTACGGGTTACTGGTGAGGGGTGTGGATAACCCTTTTCACATCTTTTGGCTTTCCTCCCAGTATTTCAAGCAAAAGTAAAATGTCCAGTAATGCACAAGGCATGGACACTTTGCCTCACTGCCTCATCTTTCATCATCTTTCTACTTTTGGTGAGATCAGCGGATCAGCGGGTCGCAGGCCATGATTAATGGGGATTGACCATCTTTAGCGGAAACTCACGGCGGAGCAGTTTGTTGAGTTTCTGCCATTGGTGCGTGCGGCCATCTACTAGCTCAGCTTTGGGCTCGATCTCGACAAAAATCGAGGATTGCATCGCGCTCCTGGCCACTGGCCACCAACCACTCAAACCAACAGTCGATCTGATCCCCGGACCTGAAAAGAAATCAGGACCCCCCCTGGACCTTGTTGAGTTCCTAGTCGCATATTTCTCCACTAGTCGCATGAAGCCCCGAATGACTAGTGGAGTGAAGCTTCTGTTCCCCTGTGACTGTTGAGGGCCAGTCTGACTCCATTCAAACTCCGCTCTTGGGGACCAACAGGTGGAGTTGGCATCAGATGTATCAGCTACTCATCATTCAGCCCCACAAGTGCTGAACTGTGAACTCCTGAGTGCTGAACTGTGAACTCCTGAGTGCTGAACTGGATGTTATTATAGGGACTCTTCCGGACCGGCCGCACTCCCTCTCGGCCCCTCGGCCCGGCCGACCGTCCTGGTGGTAGGTCACCAGCCTCCGGCGAATCCTGGGATGGCCGACATGTCGGAGGACACCGAACAACGTTGGACTCTGCCTGGCATGATCTGCCCGCGGGCGTACATCAACAAAAAGGTTGGCCTGCTAGTCGGGTTATTTGATGGAAGAACACACTGAAATCTTGTCTGTAGTTCGATGAAAGCAACCAAAACACCTAAAACACCCTAGAAGAAGACCGATAAACATCTTTTACAGAAACCGCGTTTCCAAGGAATCTTCTTCTGCGGGTTCAATTTAAGGGTCCATCTTAGTTGTTGGGAGGGTAGTAGCTTTGCTCTTTGTTGGGGACCTCGTTACCCAAGCTGATCCAAGCTGTACGTTTTCAGGGCTGTGCGTTTTGCAACCTTCAGGCCTGCAGTTCACGAACAGCGCGCTTAGGAGGCCTGGACCCTCCCGTCCTGATGAATCCACTAGTCTTTTGGAGATTTTTGGACCAAGGCTCTTTTCAGGCGTGTCATCTTCTCTTTGGATCACTCGCCCCATGATTTCTGCTGGCGGTGGGTTGTCCTGCGCTTCGTTTCGCCGGGATCGTCGGGAAGGAGCTGGTCCATGACCGTGTCGTGTCAGGATGAAGAACCAAACACCGATTTGGCAAGTCCCAATGGACCATGTGCTAGTGGACCATGTGCTTAGAATGTATGTGTAAGCTTAGCCAAAAACACGCAGTGATAAGTGAGATAGAGCTCCATTGACTGATGCGACGCGTATCGACATGCGGCCTCCCAATGCATCCGAACAGTGCATCATCATTTCGGGAGAAGCAAATCAAAAGAGAAGCAAATGTCCACGGATGACGGATTCCCCTCTTTGGATCATTGTTTAGCCCCAGCCATCCAAACTGCTAGACCCGCCAGCACCTTCACGTGGTAGATCTTCCCACTCAAAGGGTCGATACGGCGCCCAGCAATGCGATTGATGACCACGTCGTCGGCGACCTCGTCACCCGCCCGGGCAAAGAGTGGCCCATGTGGCGACGCCCTTTGTTCCGTTCGTAGCGTCCGATCGCTCCTAGTAAGGCCAGGAGCCCCGTTCGTAGCTTCTTGTTACTGGTAGCGCCAGGAGCCCCGTTCGTAGCGTCCTTGCTCCTGGAATCTCATGTGGATGTCCAGCTTTTGGGGCCATGAGGGGCCATGCAGGTGTGTCACTTATAGCAGTGGTGTGTCACTTATAGCACTGCTGTTGAACCGTTCTCACGTTGCAACGGTGACCCAAACGTTGGATGCTGAGGCCTGTCTTTTGATCAACCAACACTTGGACTGGCCGCGCCCGAAATCTGGCTCCTGGAATGGGTCATGAGGACTCACTGGGTTGGGAAGGTTCGATTTGATGTTGCCAGTGCCGTGTTCAGTGATCTCTTGTGGCCTGAATTGGTGGAATCCTCCTTGGACAATAGCTGGCCGCAAAGGAAGCATATTTCAGGTACCTCCTTGAGATTCTAGTCATATGATAAGTCAAAAAATATATATATATATATGTCCATGAAGCTTCATGACTCATGATTCTATAGATGCCGCCCCCGCAAACAACTCCAAATTTGCACCGCCTGCACTTCCTAGGGCTCTCAACCTCACCATCCTGGACCATCCTTCTATTCACCGAAGACAAATCACCTCAAGATGCCCACTCCAGCCTGCCCACTCCAGGCCTCCCAACCATGCTTTACTCCATAGGGATCAAAACCCAAAGTAAACCCACATTAAACCCGCACCACTACCCACACCTTTTTCCCCAGGTCTCGGTTGCCCCTGGTGCTCACACCCAAAGGCGCCGCCGAGCCCCGGCGCCTCCAAATGGATCACCGCGGAGATCTCCACGCCCGCGAGCCGAAGCGCCTCGGCCTGGGAAGGTGAGGCTTTGGAGAGGGCCTGATCGGGTCCAGGAGCATCTATCAACGATCAGCAACGGATGATCTCGGAACTTATACACTCTCGAAAACTCACATGTCATGGACCCTCACTAACATGGTCCCCTGGAAGATGGTTTTCCTCTACCAACCAGTGATTTTGGGGTTCCATGTTAATCTTCAGGGGAGTATCTAGTGAACTATGTAAACTTTGGGAAGTCACTTGCTGACCATATCATATCGCAACGAGTGGCAATTCCAAGAAACACAGCACTTTGCATTATATCATTTAAGTTTGCTGATGCCGGTGGTTGCATCCAGCAAATTACAGCAAATGATCGATATCCTTACCGCTCATTCCATGCCGAAAAACGAACCGGAGGGGCTCAACCACACGGCCTCTACCGGTCAACCACGCAGACTCGCCCGATCCGGCCGACTCGCGCCGCCTGTGTGCGGGTCCGTGGAAATCCGTCCAAAAGAACACCACGTGAGAAGCAGTCATGCTCCGCCAGGCGTTCCTCAAGACAACCGAGAATCCATGAGAATCCCATGGTGTTTTCCAACGGCACTCCGATCTCAGAAATCCAATGCGATGTTGCGTTGAACACTTGGCCGCAGCCTTAATGGTCATTCTACATTTTTGTTATGATTGTTCAATTTGGCTGGACTCGGGTGCACCTTAGCAAAAGCCGGAAATTATGCAGCAGGCATACCCTGTTCGGCATACATCAAGTACATGCCAGGGTGGCTAGCTGATGATAGGAAGTCAAACCTGCCAGTCGACCCAACTATGCAAACTCTATGGCACCGCGGCTGGTTTATCAATTGTGAACACTTTGATGTTGGTTGCTTAGCAGGGGAAAGTTGATGAAAGATTCCAAGACTCCAAGTCTCATTTTTTGACCTCGACCCCACACTTCTCACTGGTGGCTGGTGAACTGGTCGGCTCATGTTTGGACTTCACCCAAAAAAAGTCGTAGCCAGCTGTGGAATTTCACCTTGCTTTTCTGAAGACTTGACTTTCGCAAGAAAATCTACTTGGACCATCAAGGACACAGCTTTTCATCTCTGGGCCAAAGCCAGTTCACAGCTAAGTTCTTCACCAAGTTGACATCGTTCCACCATGTACCACTGTACCACCTTCTTCCTTTCTAATATCCTGACAGCTGGGACTAGCCGCCTTCAGCACCGAGACCACGGTATCATCCGGCACCTTGAAGCCCCCATGTCGTGAGTTATCCAATGCTCCATGTTTGGCACATTCTGCATCATATACTGCCATTTGGATTGGGCTGAGTGATCAAAAAGCTCCATGTAGATCGATGTATAGGTACCATCACGACTTTTTTGGATGCCTTTGGGGGGGATAGGCAAACATGACCAGCTCTGCCAGCCAGGTGTGCTTGGATGGATTGATGAGAAACAACTGTCAAGTTGGGACTGGTGGTGTGATGCAACATGTCTACCGTTATGGGGGGGACCACCACCAAGGCTGGTGAATGCTTGTGATGCAGCTCTGGGAATGGAATAGCTCCCTGAAGCTGTCAATCTCAAGAGCTGCGAAGTGCTGGAGTCACCCCATCGCAAGGTCACTTCCAAAGCGTTATGATTCAACAACTACTGAAAACACATGAAAGCACAGGGGCTCAAGTGACTCAAATGCCTATATCCATGCTCAAATACTGACGAACATGTGGCCTCGGTTGTGCACGCTCATGATGCATGGTGCATGGCTCACATCTGCGTAGCTCAAATCAAAAGCCTAGGGCCTAGCAAAGTGATCAAAATGACGGCCTTCTCTGCGATCCTGTAATCTGGGTCCCCCAGCCAAACGTCCCTCTGAAATCTCTTGGGCCAGCTGTGGCAAGAACTTGGCACGCGCACGCAGGAGGTCCCCCATTGAGATGTGGATGAGGCCTCAGGACGAACGCGGGTGTGGCAAATGAAGGCGATCAAGCAGCTGCTGAGCTGCTTGACCAGCCGCTTAAATCCGCTGGGCGATTCAAATGAAACCCCATCAGGATGTCTTCAGGAACCTGTAGCTCACAAAGTCGCACATTTCTGAGGCGTCGAATTTCATTGAAGCCAGGCACAGTGCGGTCACAAATAGATCTGGAAACAGTATTTAAAGAAAAACATTAAAACAAAAACACTTGGGATGGGTCAATCACCTCAACCGGCACTTGTTCTCTTCTGAGTTTCTCCACCAAACCGTGGCCACGTCCCTCCATGTCGGTCCATGCTGAGTGTTCCGGGCCATAACGATCCGCCAAATAGCCGGCCTGCGTGCCTTTTCCGCCTGCAGGCGCAGCGGAGAAAGAGCACGGCGAGAAGCGGCGAGCGGCGCTCCGACGCTGCTTCACTCGCCTGCAGGTGGACCAAGCAGAACAATATTCACCTGATAGCTGGCGCAACGGCAAAGAGGGGGGCTGTGTACGCACACTCATGTGCAAGCCATTTCTGGTGGGGAGAGAAAAGAGCAATACGATGCAACGCTGTTCATTCACCGTACTCACTGCACTCTACACAAATAGAGCTGCCCTGCCCAACGCTACATGCAGTTCTGCAATTGCCACCAAATAGCTGGAGGGCCGCCAGGGCGGAGAATTGGCACCTTAAAGCCTCAGAGCTGCGGCCGGGGCCCTGGCTCCCCATCTTCCAAAAACATCCACCAACTCATTGAGTCTAGAGCCGGCCAAAAGACCCCATGAGGTACACTCAATGACTGTGATCGCCTACACCCCAGTCGTGGGAGACCATAAACTGGCGCAAGTGCCCCAAACCCACCAAACTCACAAAGCTCCGGCCGCCCACTGGGCCGAAGTCTGCGCAAAACGGCATCTCAGCACCAAGCTCATGAAGGACGCCGCATGGCTCCGAAGCAGCAACGGATTCCGGATGGAGCTTTTTGGCTCTCTGAGGTTCGCTTGTTTTGTTCTGGGTCAATCAAACATCTCAATACAGAATTAGCTGCACCCTGTCAACTTGCAGCGGACTCTGCTCTAGCGCAATGAGAGGACGAAGCCAACATGTAACATGGTCATGGAGTCATAGACCCTGGGGTTTGATACATAGTTGAAGGTTGTGTGGACGTCATGACAAGTATATTGGCAAATGACCTTCTTAGGAACCTAACTCCCTCCCATCTGAGGAGGTCGGATCCCCAAGCTCTGCTCCCCTTTTCTCCCTCTCTCTCTCTCTCTCTGCAGGGCATCATGCTGTTTCATCGATGTTGCCCCGACTCATGGCTCCCTCTTCCATAGAAACACGTTTTGTCCCAGTCAACTCGCACCTTTATGGTCATATGATTGTATAACGTTGCATACCTGGACCTTCAAGGGGTGTCCAATGGAGGTCCCTTAGTAGTGTAGGGGCTTCCATTGGTGACCCCTTTGAAGGTGCTGGTAACAATTGCATATTATGGTATGTAACATGCAGGTTAAATTACGTTTGAGCGGAGTGATGAAGGCTTGCCACATTCCGCACAACCATCACAGACCCACCAAGAGAATCCACCATTTGCAGCGATTTACTTGTGGGGGCCAGGTGGTACTGGTACAGCAGTTCTGCCAGCTTTTCACTAGCCCAAGTCAAGTTGCTTCAGCGATTGAGCCGGGATCTGCGGGCATTTTGAGCTTCAAGTCAAGTGTGCTCACTGCTCACTTTGTTTTTGTCTCGGATTCCCCAACAACCAGCTTCTGATACATGGTGCTCCTCCCAACAACTTCTCTTGAAGGGGAACTCAATACAATTTGTATGAAGCGGCGTGAAGCGGCGTAAATTTGGTCTGCTGAGGATCCTCAAGAGCAAAAGCGCAGCAACAGCGGCGTTCAGTGCTAGAGGCTGCTAGTGGTCTTGTGATCTTCGTTCCATGCTATGCACCTCCGCCGGCCTCCTCCCATCCTCCACGGAGCCAAACCATGACATGTCTGACCAACTCCCCTCATCAAGACCTGCCCTCACCCCATCGAAAACCTTGTTTTGCGAGGCCAGTGAGGTGGCCATCCATGGCGTTCCGCTCGTGGCCATCCATGGCTTCCCCACCTTCAGCTCCTCCAGGGTCCCGACTCTGCCGGCTGAGGCGGTCGATCTCCTTCCCTTGGGATTTGCTGAGCACCTCGAGGCCTGCAGGTGGAGAGCAATTCGGCAGGTGGATGGAACAGTTGAGGGTTGGAAACGTGTTGGTCATGTGTTGCTCCTTTTTTAGTGTAGAAGTGTAGATTCTCCTCAAGAACTCATTACTCAGGCTGATCTCCAGCTGGATATGGATAGGGCTGAAAGGTGGTCCTGCAGCCCTTCCATGCCTCTCCTGCTTTTCCTCACACCATGAGACGAACATCGCTGTTCCACGTGGAACGGACGACGCTGGGGGCCCCAGGCGCTTCTTCTCCGCCTTCAGCTCTAGGAGGTGAGCCTCTGACAAGGCCTCAGCGTGAAGCATCTGACACTTCTAGAGTCCAAAGGTGAAAAACGATATGTAGTGGTCCCCCAAATAGATGGCACACGGCTTCCAATAGATGTTTAAAGGGATTTTACCTTTCTATCTATTTGGGGCCAATGCATACACTCCCTTTGAGTAAACAAATCGTTCACGGTCCGACAGCTCTACAGCTGTCTGTCGAGCCCCCTTTGAGGTTCTGACAGCCTTGGCTAGTGCTTCTTGCAACTGCGTCTGGAGCTGGCTTTGCTCCTGAACCTCTCCGAGCTGAGGGGGAGGACATTGACAGTGGGAGAACAAATTAATGTAGGACTAGATGATACTAGATGTCACGCAAAGTGTTGTGCGCTGAAACTATCAAGAATCTAGACTCTGTTGGGGCTACCCAAAAATGTGGCCGGTCTTTCTTTCGGATGTTCCCATGGGGCATGTGTAGCTCAAGGGGCCCAAGCTGGCCCTATGATGTCCCGAGGCTTCTAGCGAGCTGATCTCCGCCCCTCACCTGCTGCTCTTTGGCTAGCGCATTTTGACCTTGGTGAAAACGTGGACGTAATCATGGAACTGTTGATGTAGGCTGAAGCGACTCAAGCTCATTCAGATCTTTGAAGATCCTTCAGCTGAACTGTAGCGTTCGACTCTCGAGCCGCATCCCCTCTCTCTCTCATTCAATGGCAGGGTGGTAATTTTCACCGCCAAATGGTGTACCTCGATCTACACACTCTTCTGGCAAACATTCTCGGGTTCTGAAGCTTCATGACTGGCTTTCGTGATGCTCCGTTTCACCGTGGCTCCTGCATCGATGGCTTTGGCAGGCTTTCGCCACTGAGTGCCCCACGCATACCGACCTGACCGGTCCGAAAGAGATCGGTGTGGAAAAGGTGAGTGGTTCAGCTGAGGCAAGTGGGTGCAATGTGGGGTGCATGCTTCATCCAAAGTCGCAGCATGAAGGATTTTCCTGAGTTTGAACCTCTTGGTGTTGCATTGTCAGGGGAATTATGACACATATCCCTACATGTGCGAGCCAAACATGCAATATTTAAAGTGCAACTACTAGGCAACCACCAATGATAGCCCCAAAAGATCCATGAACGCATCCTCATTGCCAATGAATCTTGAGTTTCGCTATATCATTGAAATTGCGCCGTTAGCTGCTGGGACTCCCTTTTCTGCTCATGGCTTCCTCCTGGGCCGGTGTTGAGTGTTTCTTTGTGGCCACGATGCCCCCAGATCTGGAGATCCCTTCATCTCTATGTCCAGCTCATGTCGCGGCTTGTTCAGCTCATCGCGCGAAGCTGAGCATGGAACTTCAACGTGCTTCTTCACCTCGTCCAAAGCCGAGAGCACCAAGGTCACATGTGCCTGACGAAGTCGGGAGACGACCGAGACGACCCAGACTACCCGGGTCTGCCACTCAAAAAGACATGAGAAAACCATTGGTCCTGTATTGTCCTGTGGAAGGCTTCATAACAATTACAAGAGAAACATGGAGAAACCATTGGTGTTTGCATTTGACCCTCCAAGGAGGGATTGTCACAACATCTTTTAAGGTCTGACAGCTTGGGCGTGACAATCCCGTTGTTTTTTCTCTGAGTCCAAGTCCAGTGGTCTTTGGGATCAATATGGATCAATACATGGTTCTGGGATGCTGTAAAAAGAACAAGTAGTAAACGGGCAATTGCCGGGCAGAAATTGAACCCGGGATCACCCATGGGACTAACATAATAAAACTTTTCGGAAGCTCTGGGCACCGCAAAGCACATGCAGCGCTGCACATTTGTTTGCTTCCCATCAACATGAAACCAATGAAACCTGAAGAAATCTACCAACACAGGTTAAGTGACCTGAAAAAGAAACCTACCGGGGTACCTGTGGGATAGTCTTTTTGAGGTTCTTCAACCTGAGCAAATCTACCTTGGATGGCGCAGCCTGATAAAGTGCAGGGTATGCTGCTCCCAAAGCTGATCGGAACATGGAGGGAGGGACTGTTTGTTGGGCGCTGCAAGTTGCAATTCTTTGAATACATTCCCCAGGCTGTGGGTTTTTAGCCAGCTCAGGCACTGCTGGGGCCAGCCGAAAATCCTTAGAAAGTCGTGTCGCGGTATATGAAGATGCGGAAGGGGAACATGGTTTGTAAAGAACAATTACCGTAAATCTTCCTCTACAGGCTGGCTTGGTTCCGCTCTTGCTCACACATGTGTGGATTGGAGACTGGAGCCTGAAGCTCCCTGAAAACCTCGGAGGCACCCGGAGAGGCAGCATCCTGGATAACCTGGGACGAGAGGCTGAGAGGCACTATGTAGCACCCATCCTGCTAAAGTCAAGCAATGGATGACACATGTCAACCTGATGGGTGGATTCCTTCTTTGGATTTTTTTACTTTAGACTTTTTCTTTTGGCTGTGGATACCTCTATAGTCGGCCACCTATACGCGGGCTGCATCTGCACGCCCAGCTGGACGTGTCGGGCACTTTTCGACTCTTGCTTGCGAGCACGATACGCATGGGGTTGGGTGCAAGTGCATACCTGTATACGCCGGCTGAGGTGTGGGAGTTGATCGCGGCGAATGGCATGGAGTGATGCCATTTGTACAAAAGTATCAACAGTTCAGGGTGGCCACGATGAGGTCCACTCTCAGTTGGAGGCCATCAATGGTCAGCAGAATGAATCGGCTGCCACCGGAGAAGTGGCTCTTCAGGCTCCAAGATGGGTTCCTTCGTGCCTGAGCTGCAGAGAAGCCCTTCCAAGACTCCAAAAAAGACTCGCACAAAACACACTTAAATACCTTGGCCCGTTTGGCCCTCAAGAGGACAAAAACCTTCCCCTCACCCCGCGCAATCCTCCAATCTGCAGCGGAACCACTCGAACACCACTTGCTTCTGCATGCGCGCGAACCGCGACACTCTGCACTTGAGCGAACAGCGCGCCGGCGAGCTTGGCGCGTCTCAGTGAGCTGCTTGGGCCCTGAAGCCTAGATCTTGCAGGGCCTTCTCCAAGGCCTCTAAGGACTCTGGAAAGCTCTTCAGCCCGAGGCCGAAGCGTACACAAGGGCAATGGAATTCGAAGAGATCGCTGACGATCATGCAAACACCATACTCGGACCTGAGTCCAAAATCACCCTCGACTCATAGAGATTGGCACATGTACATATCCTTAGACTTATTGTATTGTTCTCTAAAGTTCTCAAGGGCTCACTCATCTTCACTCAAGTTCACTCGTGTCACCTTGTCTAAAATGCTAATGCAACCCCTATTCCACGTCTTCGTCACCGTTTCGGAATGAGGACCTGTCTGGCAAAGTTTCACCCCAAAACCCATCTTCACCGGGCCAATCAGAAAGGACATCATGCTTGCACCGATGTTTCGTTTGGCCCTGTCGTGGGTCGTGGTCCAAGATCACCAACTTGGCTTACTCTCACAGTGAACTCAGATTGCACATGACACAAGCTGTTTGAACATTGCTTGAGAGTCTTTGCCATCTCCTCTAACATGACAACTGTTTGTCTAAGGTTGGATACTATATATAGTGACAAAGCCCCAGATAGAATATGCGAAAATAATTAGCATGCAAATATACGATTTTCAGCCTCTCAAAAAGCAATTCTTGAATCACTAACACCGGTGCACATAAATTATATTAAGTGTTGTTCATAATGTGTATATACCCTCCAAGTCGATGACCTCGTAAAACTTGTCCATCTCAATATGAAGACATTGAACACTATTAACTTTACGTTGAACACCTTTTACTTGACCCCATCAAAACCTGAGTTGTGTTCATTGTCTCCTGAGAGGTGGATTTAGTTAAATATGTAAGGAAACCTGCTCCTTTTTGGTGGGTATTTTGGATGGCAAGCGGCTAAGCCAAGAGCCGCAGTAGGATGTCTTCTAGGAACCAAGAGGTTATGTCTGGATGGCAAGCGGCTAAGCCAAGAACCGCAGTAGGATTTCAGCTAGGAACCATTAAGGGTTGCTTCTGGATGGCTAGCGGCTAAGCCAAGAACCGCAGTAGGATCACCTCTAGGAACCACTGGGGTCATCTGCAGTTGGAGGCTCGTTGTTTGTATTATTTTACAGCAAATTTTTGTAGGCGACCCACTTTGAGGCTTCAACATAGATGACATGGGTCCTTGACCTCATAAAGTACTGGTTTTGAATACTGGATCCAGTCACATTAGGCCCTTCACCTGTAGGGCATGAACACACATGTGCGTGCATTCATGCCTCACTTCCTTCCTCGTGCATTGGGATGCGGCGAGCAATAGCTCATCACCGGAAAGCCTGGGAGCCTATTGTCGAAGATGAAGGTGCACATGCCATGTTTAATCTGGGATGGACACTGGGATGGACAAGCAGTGGGGGCAGGGTGTTTGATGGCAAGCGGCTAAGCCAAGAACCGCGATGGGATGATGAATTGAATTTTTTTGAATGGAATTGGAGAAGAAACTGGTGGTTGTTTGGTTGGAAATCTGGATGGCAAGCGGCCAAGCCAAGAAGCGCAGCTAGGAACCAAGAAGTTGCAGTTATGGCCAGCGGCCAAGCCAAGAACCGCAGTAGGATTGTCACTAGGAAATATAACCTGCTGGATGGCGAGCGGCTAAGCCAAGAACCGCAGTAGGAAGGAAATTTTTGGTGTTTCTGAGCAGAACCACATACATGAGCCGATCTTGATGTTGCCATTTGGCTGGATGAGCTGGATGAGGGAGCACCATTGCAAGGCAACAGTGTTTCTGCACGATCATCCCTAGGACTCGACTGGGGCGGGGGTCACGTCTGGTTTCGAAGCCATGCCGGATTCGAAGCCACGGGAGCTGCTCGTCCAGGTGCTGAAGGCGAGGCCATTTGGAAACTGACATGAGGGACCGTCAAAACTCCTGATTCTTCTTCAACTAAAAAATGGACGCTATCGGTTTTGAGTTGGACCTTCTCCATTTGCAGGGTTGTGAGCACAAACCTACCCCTCTTTCAAAAAGTGGTCTTTGCATGTTTTGACTGTGGCTCACATGATGTTGGAGCTGCATAGAGGAACCACGACCACTGACTAGATCTTTGGAGTTGGACTTGTGTGCTCACATGGAGAACACCCCTGAGCCTGGCTAGGACTTCTATGATCAACGGCTGGTGGATGAGGGCAGGGAGATTCGCATGGAGGATTTGGCCAAGAAGATGGGAATGCCAGCAACTTGACATGGGATATAGGTAAGTACCTAGAGTCCTAATGGTGACTTTAAGTGGAGTTGGCCACACAAGGACCAGATACTACTATCACTGGCCTTTGGATGAGATCATAGCGGAAACTGTACAGAGATCAGCCAAGGAGAAGAAGTTTCAGAAGATGATGAAAAAGGGTGTTGCATCTTGACAGCACACTTGGAGCATCTCTGGATGTTTGTCAGCAACCAAAGGGTGGTTGCATGGCAACTTTTGCCCTTGAGCCACCTCGATTAAATTCCTCAGATTACAGTTCCATCCTAGATATCTTAATATTATTAATGGACAAGTTTTACGAGGTCATCGACTTGGAGGGATATATATATATATATATATAAGAAAAAAACTTAATGGAGCCACACCTGCGTGTCGAAGTCGGTTCCCCTCGCCGCACCGAACAGCAACCCCCACTGCGACCCTCGGTTTGCCCACGGTCCGTCATGTTCACTCATCGTCCACCATGTCCGAGGAGAATGGATGTTGGGCACGAAATCACCCAGGGTGGATTGAGTGTGGATCTTTCACTCTTCAAGGGGTATTTCCAAAAAAAGCTGCCCTCATCCATCCACCAGCAGTGACACCTGGTTTTGACCCAGCCAAGTGGGTTGTCCTGACCAAACAGGGTGCCCCTTCCAACAGGAAACATTTTTTGACCTTGATCTTTTGGGTTTTCACCCCTAGGTCTTCTGAGTTGTTTAGGGCACCCTGTTCACTGCGGTTCTTGGCTTAGCCGCTTGCCATCCCACCAGCCACCCTTTCTGTGGCCACCGGAACCGAATTCTTTGCTTTCGCCTGGCAATGCTTGGCAATGGCACTGAGATTAATGAGGGTCAACCCGTATGGATCTGGTCATATCTTCTTTACTCTGGTCTTTTGGGAGTATGGTTCCACTGAGTATCCATAGGAGCTGGTATCCAGGTTCCCGTGGAGTTCAGCTTTGTGGATGCGGAGAAGGGCCTGGATGCAAAAACATTCAAGAAGGACACCAACTTCCTCTTCTGCAGAGACTGGATTTGTGTCTTTGGACACCGGAGAGTGATCAAAGGAGACCCAGGCCAGCTCATGGGTTCTGGATGGTTCTGGATTTGGGATTTTTTGGATATCGGCCAGCACTTGGTCTAAGTAGACCATTATTGAATTCCATGCACTGATATCCTCAGTTGAATGAATCAGGCCACTTTTGGTGGGACACTCTTGTGGAAAACTCTGGTCCACTCCTGTAGGTCTGGCACGCTTCTATGACACTCTTGTGGAAAACTCTGGTCCACTCTTGTAGGACACCCTTTTGGGACACTCGAAAACTCTGGTCCACTCCTGTAGGACACTCTTATCGGACACCCTTCTATGACACTGTTGTGGAAAACTCTGGTCCACTCCTGTAGGGCACTTTTGTCTGACACACTTCTATG